TCCCCTCCCCAACAAAGCCATTCCCCTCCCCAACAAAGCCATTCCCCTCCCCAACAAGCCATCCCCGTCCCCAACAAGGCCATCCCCCTCCCCAACAAGGCCATCCCGCTCCCCAACAAGGCCATCCCAACAGGTGGGGTAATCTTGACAGCACAGACAGGAGGCTCTGAATACCAAAGAAATGAATCAGATCTTTGAGGTACCTCGATGTTGGGAAATGATGTACGTTAATGAGTTTGTTATTCTGTAGAAACTGTCTTTTTTACTTCTCGTTCAGCCATTACAAGATCTTGAAATTGCAAAGAAATTTGCCTGATTATCAGGAAATAAATTTGACGACTGGGGTTTCTTCGATGTGCAAATTTATTCCTGTTACTCGACCCCAGCCAGAGGTAAATAGATACCTTTAGGCAGAGTTGGCTATTGGGATTGATTGGGATGCTTGATCTGTGAAATGACAGTGTTTAGCCATGTGCACCCCAGGAAGTTGAGATGGTTACAGAAAAGTTTTATGTTGCAGCGAGGAGGGGAAATGATGATGTAGCACATTCAGTGCCAGTAATGGTCACAGCACCCTTGGTTTCACCTCAGGTACTATGCATACCTGAGGGTGTTAAAACATCATATGCCACATAGTGGCGTGCAGTAATTATTTTGTTACACCTCTGTGATGAATTCTTTGCAACACTTTCCCACCTGAAAGCACTTCAACTTCTTATTGTATTGTATGGCAGTTCACTGCTTAGCAGAGGGAAGCAGTCTGGTTAGCGGTCCTTACATTATGGTTTGGACTGTGGGGCAGAGATAAGTCTATGATATCACTATATGATATTACTGATGTGTGATATCCAACAGTGAGGGTTATATGTATTTTTATTGTTCAGTCATCATCATCTCTGAGCCAATGAAAATATGGTATTCAAGAGAGAAGTATAACAAACATCATTGTTCTCTTCTTACAGGTTGTCAAGAATGAAGATCTGATAGATGTCTCCTCTGTAGCAGCATCCGGGGAGACAGAGGACGAGGATGATAGTATACACCTGGCACCTCCTGTCATGACAGTCACCCTGTCATCCGGCAGCATGCTACAGTTGACCATGACCAAGACGTGCATTGAGATGCTGACCAATTTAGGCAAGGTAAAAACACACAGTCTGAACTGCAGTGAAGTAAAAGTGAAACGAGCAAAATTGTTGCAATGCATAAAAGCCTTATTTTCATCTGCATTCGAAATACCATTTTTCTGCAAATTTAGGAAGTAGCAGGCAGGATCACTTTCATAAACATTGTGTGCCATTACATAAACAGTACACGCAGCATGTTATTTTGTTTAACCCCTTCACGGCGGGATTATTTTGACCGCGACTGCTGGGTTGTGATATGCCCTGAATGGAGGGCTTTGTCCAGCAGCAGGCCCCCTTGAACCAGCAGCTGCATGGTGAATAGACTGTATGTGTGGTATGCTAATCCTCACAACGGTGCGGTAGTAGCAGTCCTCCGTAGCGAAGGGGTTAAAATCTTCATTGTTGCTCTAAAGTTGAAGATGCCTCCAAGGTAAACCTTTCACTGGTTTCACGTGAAAACTCTGTTAGTGGCTATATCTTAGCCAGGGTGTACTCGGTCTTGAAAGTTGGCTTGATCTCACAGAAGCTGTGTTGTCCTGTTGATGATATGGCTCAGGGTTCTGTGTTTTTGTTCTGTGTTTTTGTTTGTCGTTAGGCATTTGGTGAGGCGATGTCTGACCCCAACACAACTATCAAAGACGACAGTGTAGTACATGCCTGTACAGTAATCAACCGCACTGGCCTGTCACTGGTAGTCCAAGCTGGAAGCTACTATGCTGTAAGTAGTTAACTGCCCTTTACATTTATAAAAGACGACATTTATTCAGAGAAAGCCTAGTTTTTTTTTTACCTGTTACTCCACAGCTTAGCATGTTAAGGTCCATTGTGTATTGTCAGAGTAGCAATGTCATTGAAGACTTATTCAGACCAGTATTTGAAAGATTTACAAAAAATATTAAATTGTGAGTTTTTGTGAGAAATGTGAAACTTAAAGGGTGGGGGGTGCGTCTGAGGAAAGATCCTGCTAGGATCGAAATGTTGGGCTCTCCAACATTCAATTTGTTAGATTTTTCCAAAGGCCAGTGAATTAAAATGATGAAATATTGTTGAATTTCTGGAAAAGTAAGTTGAAACATTGAAACGTGCTTCTGCAATCCTCACAGTTGGGGAATCAGCTTTGTGCAATGGTACTTCCATCATCCTTCCATTTGTGTAATCTGGGTTTGAATCCCACCCGGGCCAACACGTGGATTGGGTTTTCAGTCCCTGCCTTATTTCGTGGGTTTTCCTTGGAATGTTTTTCTAGGATTTTCCTCCCACCTCTAAAACTAAACATTGCCTTGTCTTCTCTCTATAGTTATCTTCAGGTCCCTTATTAGAGCTAAAATGCCTGTATGCACGTCGGGGGGGGGGGAAGTATCTGTTGAGTTGCTAAATTTTTGGGAGCTTCATTGAATGTGTTTGATTTCTGCTCTTAGATGCCTACAGGAGCAACATCAGATGGCAAATACAGTCTGAAGAACAATGCCCAGGTGGGGCTGTCCTTAGCAACTGCTGCCATGGCAACCATGAAGCAAAAGTCTATCCTCAAATCAGGTGAAACTGATCTGAAGAGAGAGTTATCAATCCAGGTTTGTGTTTTGACATTCAAACTGTATTCACCCCATTTATATCAAAACTTACACTTCTGTATCGGGGGGATTTCCATAGCTCTGAATTGTCCGTGTAATGAAAGATTCATTTATTTTGGTAGGCTTAGTATTAAAGGGATTCACCTTGCTCAAGTAACTGTGTTCTGTAATCTCACTAAAATTTGAGTTTTTGTAGTATTTTAATATTTATTATATGTTTTACCTCAAAAGTAATCATTGCAACTTTGCATTGTAGGCTTACATTAACCCCGACAATCCCTAACCAGCCAAACTCCCAACACCCGGGTTTGTTGGAATATGAAAGGGCTGCATAGCACCGTAATCATAATATTGACAAAGATATGTACAATCAGTGCTCTAAATTTATCGTTTTGCTGAGCTTTTGGTAACTGGGTACCTTTGTCAAGGCAAACAGATTCAGTTCAGGTTACTGAAAGCTCGGCAAAAAGATAGATTTAGAGCATTGATTGTATATGTTTGTCAATACCAGGGTTTGTTAGAGCCTGTTGGATGAGCATACGTCACTGGTAAACTAACTGTATTTTTACGTGGGAGTTCAACTGCTTGTGTGCACAGTGTGCTATGTGGTGTTTGGATTTGCAAGGATTAGGAAGGTTTCTAGCAAATCACGCTAGGGAGTTAGGGTTAAGGAGTCAAGACACCAGTTTTTGGAAGTAAGGGAAAACTTATAATGTCACATGAATGACTTAACTTGTCCGATTCAACCCCATTATGATATACACTGAGTCAGGTTGTTGCAGTACTTTAACTTTACTCAATCATGGCACTTCTGTTTGATATGCTGTTAATCACAACTTATAGGCTTCTAGAAAACGGACGGTCGATGCGGACTTAGTCTTTGCGTATTCAAAACTGCATTCGATCATTACTGTCCAGTGACCCAGATCTGCTCATCTTTTTCCTGGTTACAAAACACTTGTGAAGTACTCAGTTGTTTGAATTATTCATCTTGAACTTGGCATGTCAGTTAGTAAAAGGCGTAAAATTACTCAGCACTACTCTTCCTCAATACTGTAACAAGTCTGAAATTGAAGCCAGTGACATGACCTTGTTTTATTTTGCGAGTATTGAACTAGCCCATGTTGGCCAATTAGTTGTCATAAAAAATCATGATGTGTCATCATTAATTTTCCAGATTCTACTGGCATGCCTCAGGATCAGCTTCAGTAGCCACTGACCCAGAAATTAATTCCTGACGAGGCAATTCCTATTTTTCCTTCCAACGAACATTTCCATTTCAGACATCAACAGAAATGTTTCAGTGGGAGGCCGCAAGCAGATGATGGTAGTTTTCCACTTTGTCATCCGAATTCCAGACCATCCGAGTTCCAGGCACACTCTTCACAGTGTGCCTGTCAACTTGTCTGATTCAATCAGAATTGTTACAATTTCTGAGTTTACAGAGGCCCGAAAATCAGAATGTTACAACTTCGGAAGAAAAACAAGAATCTGAAAAATGACTCGCACACTGCATCCATGTAGATCCCAGAGGACAGTGATCTTTGAGAACGATAAACAACAGTGAACCGCAATACATGTGCCGATACTCCTTGGGAGCAAGTGTGAAATATTCCCTCACAGGTGCACAATGATGCACAACGTGATCCTAACAGCCAACCGCTGTTTCTTTTAAATACATTCAGTGTGTATGTACTCATGGCTCTCGCCACGCCTGTCCAGTTGCCTGCTCTGTCACTGGAAAGACAGCCATAGGGATTTATGTGTTTTCACTGTCTGGTTCCCAGACTAAAAATTCCCCGACTGTGTTTTCCACGCATTAAAGGAACAAGAGTGAGTGGGTGTAATAAATGAGTTTCCATTGTTGGCAGGTATGCCTTAGAGTGTGTTTCTTGGTGCAGGATTCCAGAGGAAGTTAACTCTTCTTTCTCCTTTTCTCACCATAGATTGAAGGATACCAAGAAGTATCAGGTATTGCCATATACCGGGCTGGCAAGGTCTTGTATAACCTGACGCCATCTAAGAAGACCTCCTCGGCAATTGTCATTTCAGTAGTGCTAGACGTTGAAGCTCATCTGGATTCCAGAACAGTCACCATCAGATCACCGCTTCAAGTAAGATAGTCTCCTCTCCCCCCAAGAAAAAGGAACTATGAAAACAAATGTTTGCCTTCAATGAAAAGCACAGCAGAGTTCTCCAACTGCCCATTGACTTGCAAGCACAGTGAATAGAGACTTTATTGTATTATGCAATTTATAAAACTGTTTAGTATTATTATTAAGCACATGCTTATTGTGAATAGTTCAGGAGTCCAGGGTACGAACAAAATTCTTTTGGATAATTTCTAACTTGATTTGAACATTTCCCAACAATTTTCAGAAATAACCGCTATTTCAAGTGTTGTATGAATATGAATAAGTACATTGCAGAGTAATTAGATGAGGTGTAGTCTGGTAGTATTCCCGAGTTAAATTTGAACGTGCTGTCCAAACTGAAGCTCCCACCTCTCCATCCTTCAGTTATTCAACCACTTTGAGATGGATGTGGAGATCTATACCCGCGTCTCCAACTGGACCGAGAAGCTGGGTACAGTCAAGGGGTCAGAGACATTTGTGGTACCCCTCAATGTGGCTCACAGTGACCAGTTATTGATCAAACCACTGGACAAAAGGTAGGAACTCAAGGTTATTGTTTTGTGTTCTGCAAATTCCAATGAGATGTGAAGTACTATGACTTGTAAACTGGCTTTGCTGTTTTGCTGAAAAAACACAGGGGGGGGATTCTTTTTTGTTTTGAGGCTGAGGCAACGTAACACAGTACTGAATTTTAAGAATATGACTTATGCATAAACAAATGTCGCAGTGTATTGGCAAAAGGAATAGGATGTTGTAAACATTCTGTACTTGTTTTTCAACAGAGTTGAAATGAGGTCATTGCAAGTTATCCAAGCATAGTGGTCCAGTTTCAGGTCTCGTCACAACTATTAAAATAAGCTGTGACATAGGCATTTTTCTTCATTGGCATCGGCAAATAGGCTTGTGATTTGACCTGCGATCAAACAGTCACAAGTTACACAATTGCGCATCTGCAATGGTTAAGAGGCGAGCTGAGTATATACATTTATACCCCTCTAAGGTCTAGACAATGCAAGTTCCTCACTAATTGCTTTAAAAGCAATAAGGAATTGAGGCAGAGCAGCAGGGCTTTAGTCAGTTGTTGAATGTTCAGTTTGCTGAGAGCACTGCAGCAGGTTTTGCACAGCACATTACTGTGTGAGGGAGTAAGCTTTGACTTACTATTGTGTGTGCTGTTCTTTTTATTTCCGGATGGACACCACCATGTGTGTAGCTGCGATGTTGAGTAAGTGAATCTCCCTGCTGATTGTAGCATGGTACCCACAGAATCTCACCGCGACATCTTGCGTTAACCCCTCATCCCCTCATTGCTCACTTCAATGTTAATATGAGTTTAAAGGGTCCATGCAGTGAATGTTTTTGAGACACACCTGTTGTGCAACTTGTACTCTTGTTCAATGTATGAAACTTATGTTAGTTTGCTCACTTGGAGTTTGCTCATTGGTCTTTTGCTATGTACTTACACAACAATAAATCACCAAAGAAAAGAAAACTTACGACAGAAAAATAGCCAGAATCCCAGCAATTTTCTGTGCACAAATCAATGCATCATCAAGGTTTTTCACCTTGAATATGGAATTTTGCATTAGCAAAAACTCAAAAGGCACCAAATATGTTATAAAGTAGGAGAACAAAAATTAGACAGTGGGGTTCTTTGCATTTACCAAGGTGCACTTTCAAGAGTTGTAGGAAAAATAATCTCACTGCATGGTCCCTTTTATATATACATGTACTAATGCAGAACACATTTTGTTTCCACTGTGATGTTTCCATTTCATATGGACACCCAAGACAGGAAAGCTAATTAAAGGTGCCATGTGCACCCAAGGGTACCCAAAATTAATGGGCCATTTCACAACATACGTAAAAGTTGCTGTACCATGGTGGTATTTAATGAGATTGTGAGAATCTGGAAGAAGCCAGCACTGGAATCATTGAGTGTGACAAAAACCAGATCTTTCTCATTTTGAAACTTATTAAATTTTAAAGCGATTTGAAAAGACAGCTGAATCATCAGTTTTGTTCCTTCTTGTACATGTATGTAAAAGCCCATGTGTTGGGTGTTCTGCATATCCAGGCTATAAAACATCGTGCTCCTGGGTCCTTGCCTATTTTAACCACGTGGGACAAACACCATGGACAACAAAAATTCTACAACCTTTAGAAAGTTGAGGATGATGTATTCTTAGTTCCTGAGTGGTGTGCATTTGTATATGGACAGCTTATCACCTGTCACCTTGGTATAGCAATGAAGTATGGACTAAGTTGTGCCTGATCCATGTATAAATAGATGCTTCACCATTTCAGGCATCCATGTGTGAGATACATGTACATGGGTTACAAAACACAACTCGGCCACAACATTTAGATGCAGCTAGCATTGCCACACATGTACATCTTTCAGAAATACATTCATTTCACTTTATGACAAACTAAATTGCATTTTATTAGCAGCTTGTTAACTGTGAAGGCATGGTCATGCTTAACTAATAAGTTTAATGCTGGACAGCTTTCTTAATGTCCAGTGCATTGTTGTACTGAGCTTGTGGCAGTCTGCTCTGTGCAGGAACAAGTGATGGAATGTGTTTATGTATATAGCAGGAATATCCCTTTGGTGGGGACACACCACGAGCACGCAGATTCTGCATACTTTGTGTGGGCAGTGCTCAGCACTTGTAACCACTTTGAGTCATGCACATCTGTTGAGATGTGAGCAGTTGGAATGCATAGTCTCTGCATGTGTGCTGGACACGCAGCCCTCACCAGCATCTCTGTTCTTTGCCTGCTAAAGTGTTCATGTGATTCCACACAGTGCATTGTATCAATTCTATTGAATACAAGATTTCGTAAATTAATCAACCAAAGTGGATGGATCACAAGTGCATTCAGTAATGATTTTACTTTCCCTGTGATGACCACAAAACTTGGATTATTCCAGCATGGATCCCTGCTAGATATTACAGACCTGGCCCTGTCTAGATCCAAAATAAGTTATCACGTTCAAATTTGTAATGAAATGCTTTTGCTTGCACAGCACAAGCAGTGGTTGACAGTTTTTATGTTCTGTTCCAGTTGGTAGTCGTTGGAGTTGGTTCAGATACAGACCTTTCTCATTTTGTTTAAATTCTCCTTGTTTTATTTCATATTTTATTAATTGCTATTGTAAATGAAAATGCAAAGGAGGCAGAGACTTTGACGGTATTGCAGTCATGCTTTATTAATGATACTCACCAAAATCCCCTCAGAAATTCTTGTTAACTCTTTGGAAATGCTTGTTTGCCCTTGTTGTAATTTGATAATGTTTCTTTATTTGCTTTATTTGCCACCGGTAAGTGCTTGAAACTTGCATTAAACATTATAGATGATTGATTTTTGTTAGTTGATCATTGAAATGTGTACCCTCCAAATTGAAATAAGGTTGCCTTGAAAATCGTGAATGTCTTTCATACCAACCCCTACCATTTACATAGTCGTAAAATACAAAGCAAACTGGCATGCTTTATAGCATGTGTTTGCTTTGCCCGAGTCAGTTTGTGAGGATTCATCATCTTTTAACATGCAGAATATGGCTTTCAATTGACCAAGTGCTGATCTCATGTCATGAAGATGTCAACTGTGCCACATGTTTGTCAAAAGAACAGTATCTCTCCTTTTGTCATCAACCACATCTTTCTGCAGACCACCAAAGTTATTTGACGCTTCACTCCATTTTGTGCCACTTCAAAACTCTAAAAGAGGACTGTTTATCCAAAGGGTTTCCCAACCTGTACTTTGTCTACAGAATTGGTTTCAGATTCTGACTTCCTGAACGTGTCGAGTTGATTCATTGCTACAGAGGCATCAGACCTGTAGTATAAGAAAGCTTGGAGTATTTTTATATTGCATAAAGTTTAAAGGCATTTCGAATATGCTGGACCTCAAGGTTAGGGTGAGGTTTGGAAACCCTAAACACGTATACACCTTGTTGTTTCGTTCGTTCCTGGTGTCAAACTGCATCATATAACCTCAAATCTGTGCCTTCTTATGGTTCAATCTGGTCAAGATCATCCCTTGTTGTGCTATACATGTACATCACTCAGGTACAGTCTGTGCGATGCTCCCGTCATGTGGCAAAAGCTGTGGGAGGAGCTTCAGAAAGGTCAGGGGAGTGTCACCTTCAAGTGCCCCTGCAAGACGGAAGGCTACACTCCTTTTTTCATCAATGTAAGTTGTAGGATCTGCAAGTTTTCTGTCAACATGAACATAACGCGTATCTATGGATATTTATGAAACTTTTGAATTTTAATAGAGGTACGGGAGCACCATTCTGCCGCCTTACAAAACACCTCATCTTAATTAAGTAAAATTGACACTTAAGAAACACAGATCTTCCATTTAGGTAGCCATAAATATTGTCAGCCCTTTCTCACATTGCAATGCAAAAAAGGCCTCATGTCAGCCTGTAGATGGCACACTTTAACCCATGGTAAAGTTCCAAATTGAAAAGTCTGAGGATTTTCAATAAATGAAGATGGTACTTTTAAAACCCAGCATTCAGAAAAATTGAAACATGAAAGCATTATGAAATGCAAGAAATTAAATGAAAAAGTTGTAACTGAAAAAAAAAAGCCGTAGAGGGCTTATCCCACCTTGTACAATGCCCCTCCCTCCCCTGATGCCCCATATGCCATGTTATTTCACAGTCTTTGCTTCTGTTACTCTTGTAGATTGTGACAGAGCCTGACACCATGCGGTTTGTGCACGGCAACTCACTGACTGCACCCAAGTTCACCCTACATCTCTACCCAGTTGTGATTCTACACAACCTCATGCCAATACCTCTGGCGTACACCTTGGCAGTCAGTATTGGTTGACCATTTCTCTTTGGTGTTTGTAGAAGACAGAAATTCCTTCATTACAAGAAGTGTGGAAACACATTTATTTAATCACCAGGCTGTGTCCATTGCTTTGGTCGTCTTTATTCACAGAAAATTTTCAAGAAGAGGAACTTACCAGATTTGTATGCTTTGTGGTTTTGTTTGTCTTGTCTTGTCAGTGTTTCGTGTTTATTCAACTCTGCCTTAGTTGAAAGAGGCTTTAAACATTTACTTTCTCTTTGATGTAGGGCTCAGGAGTTGAGGTGAAAGTGAACCCTACGGAGAAGTCCCAGTTAGCCAATGTGGACATGGGCAAGACCATGGTTATGATATCGGTGAGTTATAACAAAACAGTTGCCAGTTACATCCATTGTCCCAAGTGTCCCACTAGTTTCAAAACTGATCAGGGCGCAATAAGTGATGATTCTAGACTGGCAACAGCGTGGGGCAAACGTTACTTGACCACAGGTGCTATGAAGGATATCAGAGATACACATGAACATGTATATGCTGACATTCTGCGTATTTCACAAGTTTGAAATGTGTAATTTTGGCAAATAGTCATATGCACATCTTCTAGTTAAGGACTACTGGGTTAGTGTAGAAGTTTGGTGCCAGCATTGTGCACAGAGAATGGGAAACAATTCTACATCTGAAATAGCCATAAAATTGGGTAGTGATTAAAAGTTTTCTTTTGTTATGGCAAAGTCATGTTTCTATACGGAAAATGTTTTGCATGGATGTGAATGAAGTTACGTTTTGCAACCCATCCTTTTAAATGTTGTGGAAAAGCCAGGAGAATCTACGTTCACTGTTAATGTATTCATCAGAAGCAAAGAAAATTAAGACCGGATTGAACCCAGAATATCAGTAATCATCAGTAACGTTGGATCCCAAACATGGAGCAGATCTTTCTGTTATAACCACAACAAAATTTAATTTTATTTTCTTTGTTTCCATTTGTGTTTAAAAGTTTAGTAAAATTTAGAATTTAGTAAAAGGAAGGAAGGGTTTGTATAGATATTATGCCACTTATTTAGGAATATCTTTTGAATAATTGCGCTTTGACCTGATCTTATTCAGTACCGTGATCATACTCAAAGAAAGGATGCAATGCAGCCAGAGGTAACTGAAAGCCAATTATACCACATATCAATTACTCCCATTCTGTACATCGTGCATTGCACCATCCAACATTGCGCCATCCAACAATCCATCATGTTTCTATGGGATCCTGTTTTTGCCAACCCTACAATTCTTAAGGGGTCAATGGAGTTTAAGTTCATTCACTCCAAGTCCTTGAAAATGGACTTTTGTTTTTCATTTTATAAAGGCCTATCTTCAGTATGGTGTCTGTAAGTTCTTACACTGGGCTTCTAATGAAGAAATATCGTGCGATGCCAGTGGATTGACTCAGATTTTCTTGGATTGCAAACTGTAAATTTCGACAGTCACGCTCGTAACTGCTGTAGCAATGTGAAGACACGACAAAGGTTGTGACCCCATCCTTGTTCCCTGTTGTAGGAACCGTTTCATGTGCATGTTGCCCATACATACTGGGTACGAGGCTGTGTTATGTGGTTTTACTGGAACGTACACCAGCAAGTGTAGGCTTGACGCGATACACAACGCACGCTCATGACATGTTACGAACAGGATGCAATTTCAATCACGGCGAGAGAAGTCTGCAAATTTAGTTCATGTCAACAGTTACAGATTCCTTTGGCGCTCTCAATTTATAGATGGGTTGTTTTTAATTGATGAGGGCAACTGGGCAAATTAACACTTTTGACAGTGATAGAGCAGCATCAGCGTGCACGCTCATAACTGCCCAGGACGCCACATGTTACGAACGTTACCATAAACTAAGATGACTTTACAAAATACCGGATCTGTCAGTTTCTCAACTGAACATACGTACAAGCATTCAGAAGGCATAACAACATCAAACACAACAGAAAAAAACATCTATAAAAGTCATTATAGACTTTTTAATCCGTCATTATTGCCATGTCACATTTTAGTGTCTCATTTACAACCGTTACCATCATGTTTAGTCCTCATAAAAATGTGGTGAATGTGTTTATGTTAATATTATTGCATTTATAGCTTCATGTATTGAGGTCCACATTAGATACATTTCTTTTGGGACCACACATCCAGATTTTTTTAAGCAGGTTTTTAGATACCCAGTCTCATGTCTCTCCAGTATTAAATAGTTATACATATGTAAAGATATTTTGTTGCCTTTTTATTTTTATGCTAATGCAAATAACTAATGCAAATTTCCATACTCATGAAAAATGACATCATTCCTATATATTGCAATGATTCGTGCACAAAAAATTCTGGAAATTTTTTATATTTTTTTTTAATTTCCTTTGCTTTCCTTTGCTTTGGTGATATGTCATTGTTTTAATACATGGCAATAAGGCAGTGAGCAACCTATTCTCAAATATGTTTCTGTGGAATGTTTCCAGTTTGAGTAGAGGTCCCCATAAACTGATCAGTCTCTTCCCTGATTGACCTCACAGCAACAGCGCCCTCTGTTGTCCAGAAAAGCATAAATTCACAAGTTTGAATGTTTAAAACGGTACTCTTTTCAATATACTTGCCCATTATAAAGGATGTCAAGTAGTTTTCATACATTGACTATGAGAATAAAGATGTGCAAAAAGTGTACCTAAGAAAACTTCATCACCTGTACCCTTGAGGGTCATGAACTCGATGCTTACTTATCACCCCTGCTAGAGGGGACCAAGGAAATCGAGTGGTAATGTTTGAGATTTGTTCAAGATTTGTTTAAGATACATTTTAACCACTTGGTGCCGGGGTTTCCAGAACCGGACTCCTCAGGTTTATAGCAAAGCCGGAACAGTACTTGGAACAAAAGACCGAGCTGCTGGGAATTGGCAACATTTTTTTGGTCGTCAATTGCAGAGGAAATCTGTCATTGTTTTGAATGATTACACCACTGTTTATAACATTCAGTGCAAGCAAATTACCACTGGGGACAAAAATGCTCCAGCGCTCCAAGGATGAGTGATACAATACTGCTGCACACCAATCTGGTCCGCATTTGAAAAGATGCCAGCAGCACACTGGGCCAGTTTGGGGAACAAAAGAAAATTACACAAGACCGCACAATCTGGGCTTTCTTTGCAAGGCGGCAGGCCTGGCCGAAAAACTTGGGCATCAGTAGATGTTGTCTGTCAGATTAGAGTAGCCACCAGACAGTCATTCGTGTGGGTGTAAGCATCCAGATCTTGAAAATCCCCCGGGAATACGTCATGCAACTTCAAATTAAACCCGGCAGCATATGGTTAAAGCCCTGTAGCTCAAACAAAACTAGATGGCTTTATTTTGTCAGGTTGGTTAACACCTGGGATTAGGCGTGGTGTGGTTTGGGAGGAAGTGTCACGATGGGCCCTCATATGCAGTGTAAAATATTTAATGTTGGAAAGCTTCATTCATAGCTTTAACTTTGCACCAATTTCAGTCCACTATCCTCAATGACAACGGTATCCATGTACTAGTTTCTGTCAACAGCTCATGAAATTTCTTTGTGTCTGAAAACCAATGACATTATTTCATCAGCTTGTAAATATAAAAAGACTTTAAAATTACCCAATGCAAATCCATCAGCTTTCTTCAGACAATAAAGGGTTTTATGTTTTAATGGCATGCTGGAGTAAATTGACTTTGGTGACAAAATAGAAATGAAGGATTGACGTCTTTGGTACCTTTCCAGCAACAGCCCTAAACCTTGTCAGTTAAACTGTCCACTGTTCTGTTTTCCCAGCTTCTGGGCTATGCGGGCACCGACTGGCGTGGTGAGATCACCCTCAGGCCAGGCTTGAAGGAGTTCTTCCAGTTAGGCTCCAAGGGTGGGGCGTCCAATGAACTCTGGCTGGAACTGGGTGTGATGGCCGACTACAGCGGTGGCTACCTGGAAATGGCCATCTTTGCCCCCTACTGGCTCATCAACAAAACGGGACTGTCTCTAGCTTACAAGGTATTTTCTGTCATAGTCTAAGCATACCAGCCATTGGTCATGCAAGAGAAAGGGTTCACATAAGAGTGTTTCACCAATCATACACATGTATGAAGCCTCAGAAGGGTCATCGTTTCTAACTTTTACTTGCTTAGCATAAACACAGTTGTTCTTCATACATGTAGTTCAAACTTAGTAACACATAAACACTGGATCTTAGTCTCAGTGACTGTCTACTTTTAATCAGCCTCATCCAAATAATGCAAACATTGCCAGGTTCTGATGTAAACAGAATTCTGTTTGGCTGGCAGTGTTCTCTTTCAGTATACGCAGCAAAGATTGGTCCCTCAATGGCAACCTCTTGTTGGGACTCTGTAGGATATGACTGGCTGAACTGTTGTGAGAAAATTCTCTCAAAATTAATCTCATGGATCATAGAGTTGTGAATATTCATTATGGCAGTTCTGAGTCAGTTACGTTTCTCAAACAATTTATATCATCTGAGTTGGTAGACCACATGTGTAACTATTGAATGGATACATTCAGTACATATCCCATGACACCCATTTCTGATCGTGTTTCTTGTTTGTTCAAGGAATCACTGTCCTATAACTTCATTGGTTTTTTGTGATTTGTTCAACAGGCAGGCAATGACGTAATCGAGCATCCACCAGACAAGAAGGAGCCTATCTTGTTCGCATACCCAACCAACAAAGGCTTCAGCCCTGGGAAGAACAAGGTAGTAGGAAAAAAAAATTCCAACAATTTTCTTGAGTAAATAGGAGAGTCACATAACATTTCCCAGGATCCAGGTTTCTGGATTTGAAGACGTTGAAGCAGTAATTAGGATGGACAGTCTGTTATTTGGTACTTGTCCTGTTTCTGCAGTTTAATTCACCACAGTGGCGTGTTGTTTGACAGATCTGTATGAAGGTTGGTGAATCTAACTGGTCTGACAAGTTCTCTCTGGATGCAGTGGGCAGCACCGGTTTCATCTCGTGCAAGACAGACGAAAAAACCACTGAGGTGAGATTGCTTGGATTTGAAATAGAAGTGAAATTTGTAGTTCAGTTATTTCTTTTAAATACAAACTAATCAATACCGTATAGCATTTCTTAATAACAAGGGGGCAACATTATTAAAGAAAGACGGTTAAAACAAACACGTTCATTTGAAAGCTTTGAAAGTTCATTTTGTGTACATTATTCTGTCTTGTCATATGGTATATGAAGCTATACACTTTTAGACATGCTTAGAAGCATACGAAGCCTTCCTTTACACGGTTAAAACTTCGTTGTTTACATTTTGACAATTTTTCCCTTCAATTATTTGTACAAGCCTCTGTCATGCATTGATAAGACACAGCTGAGAAATGTAGCTGTAGTCTGTAAGATTACAGGTCATAAAGTGCAAGCCTTAAGGAGAGAACAAGAGTTGGTGATGGTTTCATGTCAAATCAGTTGTGTAACACCATGCCAGCCCTAGCTCACAGGTTGTCCATTGAAAAGCACTATTCCTTTGGCGCATATCCATCACTGAATGTTTTCAGTGCGTGCTACACCATTTCTCACCTTTCACAGCGTTTCAGATTTATGCATCCATTTATCACCAGACTAATCTCAGTTTTCATTTAATTGATGCCAACTGTCTGATTTGGGAAAACACACAGTTGTCCTCTCAGATGTTTCCAGTTGAAGAGTTTGAATCACAGTGGATAAAAAAAGTGGATCATGTTAATTTAAACTGAGTTGCAGTTACCAAGGATGGGTGCACATTGTCACAAGCTCTGCTGGCTCTCAGAAAATATTACATAAACCAAGGAAGACAAGTTTAGCGTGTAACAAAACACAATGCGAATCGGGGTGTCCAGAATCTTCATTGTATAATCCAAGATGTATTTTTCAACTGGAGTCTAATTAACCTACTATAAAAAGGGGTCAAATTTCATTTATTTTTCGTTGATCTCATTTTTCATCAGCATTCATAGTCATTACCATTACCATGTCTGTTCCACTTTCACATCATGAACATTTTGCAGGCCCAAGGAACTGGTGCTTCAAAGCCAAAGAAATACAGCGTAAGACCCTCACCGCACGACCCATACATTCCTCTCTTCATTTCTTCTAACCTTTTGTAGTAGTGGCTTTATCGTTACAATATGTGGCTTGCTCCAAAGTTGCCTGCTTTTTTGTGGTTGTGTTTTTGTTTTGCTATAGAACCAGATGTAGTGATACATCAGGTTTTGTTGTCATTCTGATGTCCTCAGTAACAGAAGTCGATCCATTCTAACTTTAACAGCTATACAGGGTATTAAACGTGGAATTGACAATAGCATTTAAAAATGCTCCTTTGTCTTCATTTCGATTTAACTTGCCTTTTCTAGTGTTACAATTTAATGCATGGGGAAAAGTCAAAAGACGACCGAACCTTGGTTTTTACACTTTGTAAACAAGTGATAAGAAAACAGGAACCACAAGAATAAAAACAATCGAAATAAAAGCTAGTCTACTGAGGATCAAGACAAAGGTATTTAATCAACTCATGAGTTAAGTAACTTTGATTTAGACACCATCACTGCGATGGCTTCACATTGTACACAGGTGGTTCGTGCACGTTGGCTGTTTCCCTGACTTGTGAGAGGTGATGTGACTTGCCCAAATCAGTACAAACGTCAAATTTAGGAATGTGAATGTACCAGTGTTGTAGTCAAGACCAGGCAGTCCAAGACCGAGACCAACAGACCAAGACCAGAAAAAGTAACCCGAGACCAAGACCAGCATGTTCGAGACCAAGACCATGTTCAAATCGGTCTCGAGATTGGTCTCGAGACCAAGACCAGTCTCGACGACTACAACACTGGAATGTACATGTACCGTTGCAGTGAAGGCGTCTCCTTAGATATTGAATAACTAAATATGTGTCCAATTACACCTAATCCTTGCTTGCTCTAGATGCCTGTGTTAAAAACTAACCGTGATTGCTCATATTGCAAATTAACAGAAACTGCACTGCCAATATATTGTTGATCATTGTAATGTGCATGGAATAAGTGGATGTTAACTCACTCCCTTTGACATTGAGGAAGGCCAGCTTTTGCATATACCTGTATCTGTAACCATGTCACATTGTTGGGGGCAACTGACAATCTTACCAGTTACTATAACGTGAAGCCTTGAGGAGAAGTGAGCCAATGTGATTCCACTTTTATGTTAATTTTCTACTTCATCGTGCTGCTGCTGTATTTGATGTTTGAATAACGTGGTCTGAATTTGATACGCCTGGATTTGTGGGATGTCCTTGAAATCATTAGAGAGGAGGAAGGCTGTGCCAAAACTTCCCCAGATATTACAAGCTCATGAACAAGGCACATTGAGATTTAGTTAACATAGAGTTAAAGTAAAAAGTATCTTAAAGTACATGTTAAAGTGAAATCTACCTAGAATATGCTTCTTTTATGCAACATGGTCGTACTCTTTACATTTTTTGATATCGTTGGATTGTGGTTCAGCGGAAACGTATCATCAAGGTTTGTGATGTGGGTTGAGAGAGATTATCCACGGTGTGAATTTCTGCTGCTTTAAAGTCTCTTTGATTGCCACTTTCTTAAATTTACTAATTCATCACCACTCAATTATTTTGAAGACACTGAAATGTAAAGTGTAATGCAGAGACCAGAATGAGAGGCCGTTACTGCGGCAATCTTAGTTCCAAGACATTCATTCCACAATCATGAGCCATTACTGAGCCATCACACACACACAATTTCCTTCTGTGGTCTGGGGTGGCAGCAAACAATTTGCCATGAAACCAGACGAATAAAAAATTTGAGCCATTTTCAAATTTTGGTGTGTCTTGCAAAGTACAGTCACAACGTATGATGTCTCTGCACACTTTAGCAGTACATATTTGGCCCATTTTGCCCAATGACTGGAAATTGACAGAATAAGTGCTCATTAAAAAGCTGAATGTGGGTACTGATGAAAAAAACTAATCTATCAGTGTACCTTAAAGGCATATTACAACCACTTAAACACAGCATTTTATATGGAAATTTTCAGTCATTGAGATTGGGAAGCTACTGATTGGAACCCTTGTAAAGTTGGGGGAAAAACAACAAAAAACATAATCACTGCGAAACGAAATGTTGAAGACCTCCACTTGAAGTCAGAAATAATGCCTGAATAAATAAAGCGCCCTCTCTAGTTTGAATTAATCCATTTCAGCTTAAAGCAAGAATGCAAAGGTCTTAGAACCAAGGCTATTTCTGTAGTGGCACCACACTTGTGGACAGGTGATACGCCCACAGTGTGTAGGTCTCTGACCAATAAGGTGTTCCCCAATGCTTCAAGCTTAAGAATGCCGTGTGAGTTCCTGATTTGTGAATCAGCCCTTGATGAGCCTTGCACAGAGTTGTAGGTAGCCAGCACAATAATAAATATACAATGGCGATTTTAACTTCTAATCAAACCTCTTTATTTGCACTTACCTTATCCTTTATTATTGGCCAAGATGCCGCCTAAATAATTCTAACGTTCAAACAGGAATTTGCCATTGTTAACCTTACTGCCCTTAATTCTTAATATGTTAGTGCTTTACCAAGGGAGGAAGATTTAAAGAAATCAAATTGACAAAAATGAATCTATAGCTCCAACTGTGAGCATACCTGTGTATGAACAGATGCACTTCAATCCTCCCCTACCAGTTTCCTTTTGATCAGTTCTACCAACATTCTAGATGTGCAGTAGTAGGAATTGCTATGTAGCACTATATCATTTAAAGAAGTTGATGTCATTCCATATGTGGTAATGGGGGTGTTTCCTCAAAATTAACGATGCCAGTCAATGAGGTTCATGGTTTTGTGAATGTAAAAAGCAACACTGATCTGTTTGAATTTTTTGTGAGGGGACAAGTTTTGCCTGTTGTCTGTCCATTAATACTTAATTGATTTGAAAGATAAACCGATTTCTAAATGATGACACATGTGTGGGGGTTTGAACTAACTTGTTTTGCAGACGGCATGCTGTTAAATGTTCAGTACTCACTTGCACAGTACTTAGCATTCCTCAGCGTGTTAATCTCAGATGTTCTGAAGGTGTTTGTGGCCTCTTGTAGGTGGGAGTGCAGATTCAGCTCAGCAATTTTGGCATGACCAAGATCGTGGTCTTCAACCCTCGCTACCTCCTGATCAATCAGACGGAGTTCCCCATCCGCTGTGCAGAGCGCTATCAAGAAAAGCTGGTTGAGGTTCAGCCCAAGGAGGTGAGCAAAGCCTCTGCTCAACCGCTGTACCCACTGGGCTTTTGGCCCAGCATTGGCCTCAACACCCAAGAACCTACCCCTCCCCATCCCTAGGGTTGAAAAGGGTGAATAAAGCCATTTAGGTTTTAGAAAAAGATACATTCTTGCAGGAATTGACAACAGATCAGAGTGCATTGTTGGAAACGTCAAGACTTTCTCACCATCGGCTCATCCAGAGCCAACTGTAAGAGGAGAGAGATTGTTCCCTATACCACTCTGCCATGCAAATGTTCAAACAACACCTAAAACTAAAGTAATTATCGGTGCTAATTTTGTTCTTTGTTTTAGTGTATTGCCTTTTGGCCAACGGACAAGAAGAACAACCCCATGATGGTGGTGATGGCAGAGGACTCCACAGAGAAATCCCTTCCCTTCCTCTACACAGATCCACACACCACAGTCCTCAAGCTGGACTCTAAGGTAGAAGAATAGTCATTAAAATATCAGTCATCTTGATTCTTGTTTTTTTCATTGGTCAGGATCTTGGTTACGCCCTTCCCAATGAAATGACAAGTTTTTTATAGAAGCTGTTATGCAAGGTGGTGGCTGCCGCCAGTGTGTTACTGTCACCCCAAGTCTAAATGATTCGGATACGGTCTGACCAATTGCTACTGGGGAAAAGTGGTTAGAAATCAAAACTGTGTATTGGGGGTTTAGTCGTCGGATAGTATTTAGGACCTTGGCACTGTGGGTAGTTTCACAGCAAATGGGTACAAATTTCCCTCATTGAGTCTTGGCCTCAAGCAAAAACATGAACATGCAGTTATCTTATAATAGTTACTTATTTCAAATGGTTCATGGGAAGGGGGCAGGGAACATGACATTGCAGCTACAGGATTTTTTTCTTTTGCTTATCTGTAATTGCTGTGTAATTCTTTAGTGATCAAGTGATCATACTTTTCTAGGTTAACAGTGCTGGTCAGAGAGATCGATAGCAGTGTAAGTCTCTTACATCAGCACAAAAGCTCTATAAGCCCATGGACAAAATTCCACCCATGTTTAGAGGACCCAGCGTATGCACTGACTGGGCTGCTCCACAGAGCTTCTCCCATCCGCATGCCTCCTATGATCTTAACCTGAGTGGCCATTGATGCATTGTGATCTTTCTCATCTACGCAGCTTGGTGGTATCATAGTGGATACCTCAGTCACTGAGACAGCAACTGTTGTCAGTTTTGAATCCTTCAGCAAAGGCAATTTCACGGTACAACTGATCAACCATACAGACAACATGCCTGTCAAATACCACCAGATGTAAGTGAGATCATGCTGTGTTGAGAATTGCAGTAACTACTGGTTGCATGATCAGCATAATCACTGGCGAACATTCTGTAAAACCAGAAACTGGAAACTCTTTCAGTCAGTGCATTCTTAGATCTAAGTTAATTCTATGCTTTCAGTATTAAGCCAGAATTTTGATACATTTAGTCATAAAAAGCATAGACCACTCTTTTAAGTTTTTGGTAGCCATCTTGTTCTCACGTCAAAGAAACTGAAAATAACTTGTTACTGAAAATTTTAGAAAAGGCATTGCTGCTGAAAGATGCTCTCAGTTAAGGCTAAGTGTGACTGTAACCTCATTTGATTGACTATCTGTGTAGATAGCCAACCAAATAAAGTTTTTCCTTGGTAAAATAAACAAGATCAGCGGTTTTTTGTTCAGCATCATTTCGAATAATTGTTTCGTATGTATTCTCTTTTTTATCATCTGTTACCTTTGCTTCCAACACCAGCAATGTGAAAGAGGAGAAAACTTTACGACCAGGAGAAGCTGTCTTGTACACTTGGCAGAATCCAACAGAAAAACGGGAACTTGTCTGGAATGTCGGGGAAAAAGACCATAGGAATGACCTGATTAAGGTATGCTACCATCAGTCAACTCATCCCGTATGTGAAAAGAAAGAAAAAAAATTTCTTTTGAAGATGACAGAAATAGTTACATTTAAAGTGTCATGCAACTCCGCAACATGCAAATTGGTACTTTTTGGACTTGTTCCTTATATTGAATGACAGAGACTGCACAGTTTCTTAAATACTCAGAAATAAAGTGGACTTTCAAGTTTTGGCATCAGCACAATTTGTAGATGTAATAAGCGCTGAGCAGGCATATAACTTGTCATACCTGCCCATTTCCTCATTTTGTTTTTATTTCCAATGTACGTGCCACTGCAGATTCCAACAAGTTGTTTTAATTTGTTCTATAATGCTTGGAATTTCCTCATTGTTCCTGACTTCCTGTTACAAGCCTGATTGAAGTTTAAAGACTTGAAGGATTTGACGTTTCCACCTTGACTGAATTTTCCATAAGTTCCTCTGTCATCTACATGTTAACACAATCCATGTACAGTGTACATGCTACCTGCTGAAAACAGGCCATGCACTCTGTACTGTTTGCAACTGGTCTTCAGCTCATATCTGCTTAGCATGCACCTGGTAGAATTGCTGAGCAGCATTAAAAATTAGCTTAGCAGCTCTGCAAAAATCAACTGTGGCAAGTCATGGTTATTGATGAATTAGTGCCTCATTCTTGTCAGGCATTCTAAGGATGCATTCGAGCGAGCTACTCTTGTTAACATGAGTACTCTCCCGAAGCGCATGAATGGCAGGAGTACGCCCTGCGGATCGGCGAGAGTACACTCCCTGTCATGCAGGAGTATACTCCTGTCCGGAGAGTAATGCGC